TTTTATTAAGCTACACTTTGCAACACAGGACCGCACGGAGCGTCGAACCACGTCACATACTGGTACTGCATCTGGGGTCAATTACTCGCTGTAGCAGTAAACAAGATATTTGCCCCTTCTGAGAGGGCTGAAAGGGGCTGAAGGGGGCTGATACCCCCCTCCTGGAGAAAATTTCTCCACATAATGAGAAAATTTTTTTGACTGTTTTTGGATTAAAACAGCGACTTTGCACTGTATTTTCGTATGGTATTTATGGTTGTATTCTAGTTTTCCTGGTCTCATTTTATAGAATGGACGACATATTACAGAAATTGAGATGATTTTGATTGGTTTCACAATGAAAAGTACCTTGAAATTGAGCTCAAAGAGCAGAAATGTTTGATTTTTACCAAAGTTCAAAAGTAAACAAATCATGCCATGCGTCCAATACATATCAACTGGTGAATGTAATATTCTTTCACAAGTGCGCTGATATTATTTATACTATTTCTACACTAATGCAGTAGTCTGCATAACAGCAAATCTTCTATTTTTTTGTAAGAATAAAAATTCAAAGTGGAAAGCAAAAGAAATATAAGAGGGGCCTGGGGACATGACTAATGAACAGAGAACTTGTTATTTTAGTGCCAGAAATGTCTTTCTTGTTTATTCTGGACCCTATTTGGAAATCGGCATCATCTGAAATTTGTGTGAAATTGGAAAAATTGCCAATTTCTAACCACTTTATTGGATAGTTGAAATTGGTAAATGGGTGGTTTCTTGTACTCATTTGATAGAAAAAATGGAGTTCTAGCGAAAGAAATATGATTTTTGTCGACTAGTACACAGGAATTGGCCAAAGATAGGCCTCAAAGTGGGCGGAATCGCCGATGAGTAACCATCAGCGAGACCGCTAACTTCACGAGAGCATAATTCCGTAAGTTTTCCATCAAATTTCGTACTTTTGGTGTCATTATGATCGGGAAAAGATTCTGTCATTTCATAAGAAAATTTTTCTTTTTTTTTTTTTTTTCCCCAAAAAATTTTCGACCCTGAGAACAAGTTTAGGAGAAGGCCTCTCGACCCTGAAAGGGTTAAATTGGCCAAATTACCAATTTTCGATCACATTATTTTGTAGTTGAAATAGTTGACTTGGCGATTTCTTGTGCTCAGTCGATAAAATAAAAGTAATACGTACTAGTGAAATAGCTAAGAATTTGGTCAACTGGAATAATGTAATTGGCCTAAAATGGGAGTCAATGTTGGCAAAATCGCCAATGCGTAAATATCGCTGACACATCAAAATTCGCGAGAGCATAATTTCGTCAATTTTCCATCAAATTTCATACTTTTTGTTTTATTACCTTCAGAAAAAGATTCTCTACCATTCCATAAGAAAAAATAACAATTATTTTTTGAAAATTCTTCGACACTGGTGCACACTTTGAAATTTGGCCTCTGGACCCTGAAAGGGTTAAGTGAATCACTGTTGTAAAAATTTTTTTTTTATCTTTGTGTAGTTAATTAACCCTTTGAGGGTCGACAGGCCCTCTCAGAAACTCGTTCTCAGGGTCGGCCAAATTTAAAAAAAAAAAAAATTATTTTTTCTTATGAAAAGATAGAGAATCTTTTCCCGATCATAATGACACCAAAATTATGAGATTTGATGGAAAACTTACGGAATTATGCTCTCGCGAAGTTAGCGGTCTCGGCGATGTTTACGCATCGGCGATTTTGCCCACTTTGAGCCCCATTTTCGGCCAATTCCACTGTACTAGTCGACACAAAACATGAATATTTCGCTAGAACTACATTTTTTGTATTGAATGAGTGCAAGAAACCACCCATTTACCATTTTCAACTATCCAATACAGTGGTCAGAATTTAGCAATTTTGCCAATTTCACACAAATTTCAAAAAATGCCAATTTCCGTCTAGGGTCTAGAACAAACAAGAAATAAATTCCTGGCAATAAAATGACATTTCCTCTGTTCATTAGTCACGTCTCAAGGCCCCTCTTACATTCTTTTGCTTTCCACTTTGAATTTTTATTCTCACGAAAAATAGAAGATTTACTGTTATGCAGATTACTGCATTAGTGTAAAAAATGGTATAAATCATATTGGCGCACTTGCAAAAGAATGTTAGACTCACCAGTTGATGTGTATTGGACGCTTGGCATGATTTGTTTACTTTTGAACTTTGGTAAAAATCGAACATTTCCGCTACTTTGAGCTCAATTTCAAGGTACTTTTCATTGTAAAACCAGTCAAAATCATCTCAATTTCTGTGATATGCCTTCCATTCTATAAAATGAGACCAAGAAAACTAGAATACAACAATAAATACCATACGAAAATACAGTGCAAAGTTGCTGTTTTATGTCAAAAAAACGGTCGAAGTTTTTTTTTCTCATTATGCACTGTGTGCTGCAGGATTTTTTTTATACCGTGCACACTGACCACATAGACCCATTCTTTCATAAGGAGGCCTACCAGCCTTTTCCCGAGAGATTTGACGGCGCTAGAATTTATGCGTACTAGTACGTCAAAAACCCCTGCGTGTAAGACGTACTAGTACGGCCGAAACCCTCAAAGGGTTAATGCTTGAATTTGATCTTGTGAAGACATGATATTGTTTGGCTATTGGGAGTGTAATTAAAATGTTTAGAATTTTAGAAATTATTTATTTTTTTTTTTTTATTATCACACCGGCCGATTCCCACCAAGGCAGGGTGGCCCGAAAAAGAAAAACTTTCACCATCATTCACTCCATCACTGTCTTGCCAGAAGGGTGCTTTACACTACAGTTTTTGAACTGCAACATTAACACCCCTCCTTCAGAGTGCAGGCACTGTACTTCCCATCTCCAGGACTCAAGTCCGGCCTGCCGGTTTCCCTGAATCCCTTCATAAATGTTACTTTGCTCACACTCCAACAGCACGTCAAGTATTAAAAACCATTTGTCTCCATTCACTCCTATCAAACACGCTCACGCATGCCTGCTGGAAGTCCAAGCCCCTCGCGCACAAAACCTCCTTTACCCCCTCCCTCCAACCCTTCCTAGGCTGACCCCTACCCCGCCTTCCTTCCACTACAGACTGATACACTCTTGAAGTCATTCTGTTTCGCTCCATTCTCTCTACATGTCCGAACCACCTCAACAACCCTTCCTCAGCCCTCTGGACAACAGTTTTGGTAATCCCGCACCTCCTCCTAACTTCCAAACTACGAATTCTCTGCATTATATTCACACCACACATTGCCCTCAGACATGACATCTCCACTGCCTCCAGCCTTCTCCTCGCTGCAACATTCATCACCCACACTTCACACCCATATAAGAGCGTTGGTAAAACTATACTCTCATACATTCCCCTCTTTGCCTCCAAGGACAAAGTTCTTTGTCTCCACAGACTCCTAAGTGCACCACTCACTCTTTTTCCCTCATCAATTCTATGATTCACCTCATCTTTCATAGACCCATCCGCTGACACGTCCACTCCCAAATATCTGAATACGTTCACCTCCTCCATACTCTCTCCCTCCAATCAGATATTCAATCTTTCATCACCTAATCTTTTTGTTATCCTCATAACCTTACTCTTTCCTGTATTCACCTTTAATTTTCTTCTTTTGCACACCCTACCAAATTCATCCACCAATCTCTGCAACTTCTCTTCAGAATCTCCCAAGAGCACAGTGTCATCAGCAAAGAGCAGCTGTGACAACTCCCACTTTGTGTGTGATTCTTTATCTTTTAACTCCACGCCTCTTGCCAAGACCCTCGCATTTACTTCTCTTACAACCCCATCTATAAATATATTAAACAACCACGGTGACATCACACATCCTTGTCTAAGGCCTACTTTTACTGGGAAATAATTTCCCTCTTTCCTACATACTCTAACTTGAGCCTCACTATCCTCGTAAAAACTCTTCACTGCTTTCAGTAACCTACCTCCTACACTAGTATAAATTTTATTTTAATTGTAATTTGAAGATTGTACTCTTAATTTATTTTAATTGTACAGTAAATTTATATTTTCATTATTCTAACAAGCAAAAAAAAATATTTTTCTCAAAGCCCTAAGGGAGACTATTTTCAGTTTACATAGGCCTGTTTATGATTATGTAATCACTTAGCATGTCTTACCAGTGTATGTACGCTGTAATTTAAAAACCACTTAGGAGGCCGTGAACCTGGTGTCATTATATATTGTATTCCAGCTTCTTAATCTGGAATATATACAACAGTGATACTAAAAAAGTATGATAGCAAAGCCTTTAATAAAGGCTTTACTATCATATACTTCCACATCATTTTTGTTAGTTTAAAATAATGTTTCTTTTGTTATTCACATTTGCTTAGAGTTGTGCAAGAAAGGTATAAAATACCGACAATATGAAAGTTAAGACACATGTGCAACATCTGGATATCTTTATTGTAGACGTTTTGCCATCCAGTGGCTTTATCAATACAGATTCTAGGACATAATAGGAAGACAGTAGAACTATATACAAAAGATGAGGTAATCAGTCCCTCAGCCTTGGAGTAAGTGTTCACAGCATCGTGGTGGAGGAGAATCTGGAGCAAAGGCAAGAAGACTGGCGGTTATATAGGCGTCAGTGGATAAGGACGGGCAGCAGAAAAGGGCATAGTCACTGGTAGGCGGGATTCCCCAGTGGAAGTAGGTCCTTCCCAAAGAGATGGGTTAGTTGCAGCAGCCGTGAAGAAGGTCTTGTAGATGTCCTCTGAACCAAGATTCCATGATGTTGCAGTGTCTGACAAGTTGTGCAAGAAAGGTATAAAATACCGATTCTCCTCCACCACGATGCTGTGAACACTTACTCCAAGGCTGAGGGACTGATTACCTCATCTTTTGTATATAGTTCTACTGTCTTCCTATTATGTCCTAGAATCTGTATTGATAAAGCCACTGGATGGCGAAACGTCTACAATAGATATCCAGATGTTGCACATGTGTCTTAACTTTCATATTGCTTAGAGTTGCATCAACTAGGCCCTGTATATTACCAGTACAGCGCTATATAACATACCATACTATTCGTGTTCATAACTTGTATGTCATGCTGTATAAGCTGAAGCTGCCAACTTGGCTTATTTGTTGAGTGTTTTTTGCAAGATAAGCTGGCAAAATGTTTGTTGCAATAGCTCTCAAAAATCAGCAAAGCATTTGTGATCTCCATGCAGTTGAGGAAAGACTACAGAAGCAGTGGAGAAAAGGGGATTATGTATAGTGGAAGAGCCAATCCAGTAGAAAAATCAGCATGGAAGAAAGAGAGCTGTATTATGTATTAAGAGTGACCAGTAAAGCAGGTTCAAATTGCCAGAGAGCAGCTAAGAGGCTAGATAAGAAGAAAAAAATTTGATTATTGTAAATGATTGCTGCTGTAAAGATCATCTTGTAGTGTCCACTTAAAAATCAAAAGCAAGAAGGAAAGAAAAACCAAATGTCACTACAAAAGTGGCAGGAGTCTGTGGTCTACATGTGTTGGATGGAACAGGCATTAAGGTAAGATGAAGTAGGATTCAAGGAGATCTCTGCAAGTTGGGAAGCTCCACCCCAAACAAATTTATGGCAATTGAAATTTCCCAATGGAAACAGCAGTTCAAACAAGAAAGGAATGTTAAGATTATCCAAGGGCAGGACTAGAAGATAAGGAATAGTATTTAATACCTGTGGAAATAATTGCTAGTCAAGAGTCCTAGACTGAAAATCCTTCATTGTCATGATGTTTACCTTTTTGTAAATAGATACAAAGAAAACTGAGATTAACATCTGAAGATCATGTCAGTTTTCTTTCTTACTTTAAAAATTCTGTTGTAGGACATAAAATGCAGTATAATGAAAACCAGAAAATGACAAATACAGTACAGGGTGAACTTGCAGAGAAAATGGGACAATTAACTTCTTCTTTGTTGGAAGCCCTGAAATTAAGTGCTAACAATGTTGAGAATTTAAAAAAAAAAAAAATTCTGAAATTGTATAATCTTCTGAAGGAAAGAACACCAAAAATATATAATTTGATGGATTTACGCAAACAAAAAATTGGTGGTCTTGGCACAATTTACACACTGGCGATTTTTGCCCACTTTGTCTTATTTTAAGTCAATTCTTAGCTATTTTGCTAGTATGCTCTTTGTTCTATCGATTGAGGGCAAGAAACCTCCCATTCTAAAGTGCACAGAAATTGATAATTTGACTCGTATTACACAATTTCAAAAATTTAAAGTCCAAACTAGACACTTTAGGCATTCCAGCCACTAAAGCAACCTATCCTTTCTTCATTAATCACATTCCCAGGCCTCTTCTCAATAGCACTTGCACTCCATTTTGAATTCATCACACAGTTTTACCCTATTTCTCAGATAATAAAATTTAGACAGGAATGATTGAGCATGGTTGAGGGTGTCCCAGTAATTGAAGCAGACCTAGTTAAAACCCATTCTATCAATTGATACCAAGTAACAGTCAATAAAACCATAAAAACCACCTTCAGACCACCTCAAAGTTGCTATTTTAAGTTAAACATACGGTTAGAGGTTTACATTTCTTCATTATGCACTGCACGAGGCAGGATTTTCGTATATTGTGCACACTTATTGCACAGATCCATTCTCTGTTGTCCATGTAAAAATTTACCACTCGCTGCATATTTGAAGGAACTGTGCTTAAAACATTTCTTCGTGAGTGACACTGGTATCGATAACATTGATCTATGTATGGGAGTAAAAGTGTTAATCAAATTTTTTAGTTGGTAGGTCCATGTATGAGGGAACACAACACAAGGAGACAAAAGTGCAGATGATGTGGATGGTAACAAGTAATAGGAGTGGAAAGATGTAGGCAAGTAGGCAGATGCAACAGAAGTCACAACAGTATACAGTGGAACCTCAAATTTTGAACGTATTGCTTATCAAACTCTATTTTCGAACCACAGGGTACCGGACCTGTCCGCCAGCCCGCCCTGTCCTTGTCCCTACGCAGGCGCCGTGAGCCAGTCTGGCTTTGTTGATGCTTGAGTGAACAGTAACCTGCGGTCTCATTCAAACATTTTACAATTAATTCATTGTGTTTAGTGCTTGTGGGACTGTGAAATAAGCTACCATGGGCCCAAAGAAACTTGCTAGTGGTACCACTGTGGTAAAGAAAGTGAGAAACACCATAGATGTGAAGAAGAATAGCATTCTTGGTATAAGAGGCATCATTATGAGGGTTGACACATTCCATAAGAACATTACCAGTGGTGAAAATTGATCACTATTGGGGAAGGGGGGGTCAGCAGATACTGTAGAAGAAAAACTAAATCAACATCTGGAGCTCTAAACGTTCCTCGGGTGAGTTAAGAAAGAAGCATCTTTGGTGTGTTACAGAGCGTAAAGAATCCTTATCTTGTTTATCTAGCAGTGTGTTATCTGTTTTTTCCATTATTAAGTCAAGTATTAAAATATGTTTTGTCTTTATAGTTGCTGCTGCTGTATGACTCATTTGGGTTTAGTGCTTTGTTGTGAATATAATAACTATTTAATACAAGTGGTAATGTTAGTAGATTTTCAGATAGTGTTGGTTCAACGTGTTCAAGGTGCTGGGAGATGCTTTTTATGATGCCAGTGCTTCACATTTCTGTTGGAGTTACCTTAAATGATATATTTGTTAGGTAAGATCTCTTCAGATGTCATTTTCATGTTCAGTGTATTTTAGCTGAGCTTTTGTAAGGTCTAGCAATACATCACATTTCTTGAAAGTATTGAAAATATATACATGTATACATGTATCCCATCCTTATTCTTGGAGAGCTTATTCTGCACAGTGATGCCTCTTTTATTAAGCTGGTTTTAACATAATTAATGTTTTGATATGAAATGGGGGGGCCCATCATTGTAATAAATCTATTACCTACTGAATACTGCACTTGGCTGGCATAGTCCCAGTAATGGTCTAGATGTTTGGCTAAGTCTTAGTTTGCTCTCACATTCTGCTCATGACCATATTCTTTGTGTTGCGCAGGCACTATCTGTGTCCTATGCAACTCCCAGTCCAGCTGTCCCCTCTCTCTCATGTATAGATTGCACTCTGCCTCTCCACTTTACAATTTGTAGATTTCCTCATGGCTCTTGGAATACTTAAAATGTGATATTTGTTTTGCCTGGCTCACTGACTTGTGTTACCAGTGCTGACTGTCTGGTTTGTTCGTGATTAGCCAGCCCGTCTTGCATTTGCAGATTTCTTATGTTTGTTGTGGCTAGTCTCTTATTATGGTCCCCCTTTCTCTCATTTGATCCATGCAAGAGGCTTTATCCAGCTTTCTGTATTAATAAGCCCTGTGTCTGCCATGGGACTGTAGGCTTCCCTTTGCCTCATAGAAGCATTGCCTGTGCTTGTTACCACAAGAGTCTGGGTCAGTGAAACCTGATTTCTTCTACACTGAGCCCTAGTCACTCATTTGTCTTCTGTGGCCAAGACAACTGCCAGATACTTAACTGTTTAACAAATAAATGGTTGACAAGCTGGTGCTTGGTTAAAATCACATGCCACAATGTGCCACTCATAGTCTCCCACATCTGATGATGGGGATCAGTATGTGCTTCAGTCCCCTATACATCTTCCATTTTTCTGGAGGTCCCATGCCTGTATCTTTTAATTTTTCCTGCTCATTTGCCTGGTATTCCTTGGGAATATTAGAGTTGGTTGGACTCATTTTGGGCCACATTGGGTTTGGCCCTCAACCCTTCTTGTGCTCTGGACCTAGTTGGGCTACCTTCTCTGGTTTGCTATGGTGCCCATCATGGCAAATTCATAGATTTTTGCACCTAGTGCCTGCCTCTTGTCGACCTCATGATTGTATTAATGTTGGTAGAATTACCAATAGTATGTTAAGTAAAAGGACACAGATGCAATTAATGCAACATTTTATTGTGGCATGCTCAGCAGTGTGGTGGTCAATCTGAAGATTGGCCCTCATATTCCTTGCAGTTTTGAAGGTTTCCTTAGCGATGTTAGAAAGTTCTTCGGCACATTCGGTTAAGTAAGCTTGGGTAGCTGGAGAGAAAGGGTGTTTGGAGTTGGAGAGTTGCATAGGAGTAGACTTAGGGATCACCTTTTCAGCCAGGCAATCTTGTAGGAAGTTGTCTGTTGCAAAAACTGTGAGCACAAAGAAGGGTGATCCCTAAGTCTACTCCTACACAACTCTAACTCCAAACACCCTTTCTCTCCAGCTACCCAAGCTTACTTAACTGAATATGCCAAAGAACTTTCTAACATCGCTAAGGAAACCTTTGAAACTGCAAGGAATATGAGGGCCAATCCTCAGATTGACCACCACACTGCTGAGCATGCCACAATAAAATGTCGCATTAGTTGCATTTGTCCTTTTACTTGACCTCGTGATTCACAAGCTGGCACCTCATTTGATGTTGCATGCCACTTCCCTACAGGGTATGTCCCCTTATGGCACCCTAGACTAGGGGTTATTTTTCTGCCTGTGGGGAATTGGTTTTATCTACTAAGGATGGCTTGATATGCTCATGATAAATGTTCTCCATTCGAGGCAGGATCCCATTTCTTGTGACTCTTCCTCATGCTCCAGTGGGAAATCATGTCCCACCCTGCACCTGAAAGCCCTGCTTTTTTTGTCATATAGAAACATGTAGTAGCACACTGCTGATGTATCCAGTTTTGCTAAATAAAAAAAAAAAATTGTTTTGCATGATTTGCATCCTGGTGTTAGCTTCTTGTTTGGCCTTAGTGGGCTGCATCATTTTTTCTTTCCTCTCTCTCTGGTATGCATTTTCAGCTTATGGATAGTGCTAAGAATTTCCACTCGTGTATCAGCCTTTTATTACATACCCATTCCATTAAGTGTTGGTGTTCCTATATTTTGCAGACTTTCCTGCAACTGGTTTGCCATTTCTTTCCATGTTTATGAATTTCTGGATGGGGCCTTTGACAGTTAACTTTCTCATTACTGATGACGTGTTTCTTCTTTCCTTGGCATTCCGTACAATGGTTGGGTGTAGGTGTTTGACTTTTCTTATATTCACCTGTTATATCCTGAACAAGTAAGAGGGTGCCTGTGTCTGCCAGTGATCTGCAGATGGGGCTTAATTTATCAGTTTATTTTATGACTGGTCTTCCTTCTCAGGTGGTGTTATCAATGCTCATTGGCATTTGAACATTTCTTACTTGCATGGATTCTGCTCCACTCAATAGCTGCCCCTTCCATTCTGGGTGCTAATGGTATGATTCTAGTGTGGTCCCTCCCATGGTCCTACAGCTATACTATTTCTGGTCAACAATTAAACTGGGTGGGTTGTGCAGACAACAGATGACACCTGTGCGGTGCAACAATAAAGTAAAAAGTGAAGCGCAGATATAAATGAGAACTTGGCATCTGGCCATTAGTAGGGCCAGGAGAACTGAGTGATAGGCAAGTTACAGGAAGCTTTATTCCAATTTGGACCCTCTATGATGACCCTAGTAGCAAGGCATCTTTCTTCCTAAAAAAAAAAACTTCATAAGCAGAATTTTGAGCTTGCAACATTCCTAATTTCTAGAATGACCTAATTAAAGATTATTCAGATTACATTACCCTGCTAGGGAAGTGCCTTGATGCTGGTAAAGGGACTCTTGATCCAAGGAATTGGACTCCTCTTCCTTTGGATTGAATCGCATTCCCCCAGGCTGTGTGAGACCTTTACAAGTAAGTGTAATGCTTTCCCATGTAATATCCAAATTACAAGAAAAAAATATTTTGTTTTTAAAATGTTGAAGAGTACCTTTGAAATTTTTTAAGATAATTACAAATGTGAAAAATTTAATCACAGCATTAGAAGCATTAATAAAATTAAGATTTATTATGAGAAATACTCTTTAAAATAAGGTTATTAAACGCCATGTCTGTGACGCAATCCAGTATATTTTATTCCAATAGCAAAATTCATTAACATTCCTAAAATTACCTCAAAGTCAATAAAAAAATAAGAAAGAATTATACAATATAACAGAAACAAGTGACATGAAGTAAGTGACTTGACAAGTTTACTACCGGACTTGATGCCTGTATAAAAATAAAATCACAAGAACAGTAGTATCAACGGACTCTGACCTAGATGCTGGTTCTCATGGAATCTAAATTATAATATACGGTATATTATATATAAATTTACAGCCAGATATTCAGATTAGTCTGATATCCCTTTCTTTACAGTATTACCTTAGCCTTTGTTAATGGAGTTTTTACAAAATAGAAAATGTATTATGTGTACTTTGTCAGCAATATAATCCCACACATCCAATTATGAAAAACAGTCAAACATAATGATAGCTCGTGCTTTTTTGAAAGAAGCTTGCTGAGCAATCATTGGCGTGTCACAATGAAATTAACATTATTATATGTTTGAGGTACTGTGTAGAGAAGCACATTCTTTTGTAAAGATAATAATACTGTACTTTGAATGTCCTATCTCTTGTGTGATAATACTTTGAACCCTTATCACTTACTAGGAAGATTCAGAACTACTATGATTTCTATTTGGGTAAACACTTTACCCAGTACTGTACTGTACCCTAATTACCTTTAAAAGAAAGGTAATTGATAAATTCATAATTAATGATTTTCAAAATATCACAGAAATCAACCTAATATCTGATTCCAGAGAGTCTTGGATTGTTGGTCACATTTTAAGAGAGACTAGGAAAAAGTTGCAGGAGTAGCAAACAAGAAAACTGTCTTGAGAAGAATCTTTTGTAAGACTTTACTACTGTCTTCAGTCAGTTAATAGAGAATAAAATTTATAACATGATCAACAGCTATATACATGGTGTGGAGTTAAGAGTTTTTTTTTTTTTTTTTTTTAAATCTTAGGAGTAATATACAGTGCTTTATGTACAAGAACTTTCCTGATACTTGGCTCTTCACACATCCTCCAACCAGAGGTTATGAGCACCCTTTCTGGCAAGGTATCAAAATCTGCTGAATGCTGAGCACAACCTAAGAAACAGGCCATTTTGATTAATTATGATGTAAGATATAAACAACTAGTTATAAAAAGAAACTTTATATATTTTAAGAAAGTCTTTGTAAATCAATATTACCTGATCTTTGGTCAGCACGGGCACAGCACCTTTTAAATCTATTTATTTGTTTTTCTTTCCACTACACTACAGATGAAGAAGAAAATAAGTGGCCAGAAAAATAGACTGCCAAAAAGCATGGACTGGCTAATTGCTTCATCTCATCATCCTAGCAATACCAACTGGTTTATTAAAGATATCTTACCTATTTGTTCCATGTCCTATCTCAGACTATGTATACTGAAGATAATTTGTTAGTTTTACTGATTTTCATGTAAATGATTACTAAAATATTACTAATTTTCCTCAGACTTTAAGAGAAAAATGAGTTACTTTCCATCTAGATCTACCATTACTTATAGTATTGTTGTTTTCAATTTATATTTTTTAAAAATTTAAATAAATTATCTTTAGCAATGAATGAGGAGACTAAAACTGAGGTATTTCACACTTCTTACTGTACACTTAGCTAATGGTAGATGTTAGCACAGGTCAGTTTTTATACGTAATTCTGGTTGACGCATTTAGTCAATCTTATCCCCATCACCATATGATATACCCAAATCAGAATTCTGTGAAAAAATTGTTGTGCACTGGTAAGCCAGGAAAATGTTTGTGGTAGGGGATCTTAAGTATAACCTGGTTGATAAAAACCAGCCTTTATGTGCTCTTGTAGAGAGTGAGATAACTACTAGTAAACTAGTTCTATCTGATAGCATACTTAAAATCACAATTTTTTTTTTTTTAAAGAAATCAAAAACCAATAAAGTTGTTTGAAATGAATGTTTTACAAGAATAATAGTTTTCTAAACCCATGTGGGTCATACAGTGCTATGGGTAGGAGTGTGTTAAGGGTAAGGCATAAGGTATATTTAAATTGAAATCATGGTTGGTGCAATGGGTTTTCGTTAAAAGGTGAAAGAGCAAATGTGTGCTAAAGGTGGGACTTTTCAGTGACGAGTGTGTTGGTTCATTGTAATGCCAGGAGTGAATACTAGAGCAGATGTGGCAAGTGGGGAATGGTTATCTCAGACACACTGAGAGCTCGGTGTTGAAGGTAGAATATAACAAGACGAGCTAAACCACAAAGTTCATACTTTTTGGTGAATGTAGTAATTCACAAAAAAAAAAAAAAAAAAAAAAAACTAACTTGGGCAAAAATTCATTGGCATCAATAAAAACCCAGGGTTATTTATGAAACTTTAGTAATTTTGAGTAGGAAAAAAAAGTTTACCATTTTAATGACACTGTACTTTGTTGTGTGAATAGAATCTTCCCAGGGGTTAACTGCTAAACTGGTGGTAACACAGACCTACTTTAGTGGGATCAGTGTTGGTAAATTTGCTGCGAGTGGCAAATTTTGGCCTAGATAAGAGATGGGTCTGAGCGGTAGGTGTGCACAGTATTAGAAAAAAAATCTTTAACCAAGTAGTACATGAGAACAGCTAACCTCTGACCCAGTGCTGGGGTTAAAGTGGCAACTTTAGGACATTTTTTTTTTTATGTTGGTTTCCATTGTTTTATTGGTTGTTTCTTGGTCCCATTAGCTAGACTAGAACACATGCTAGTGGAATGACTGCATTCTCTTTTTTTATTCAAAATGTAGAGCAAGTGTTGTGTAGGAGAGCCCTGGGAACATGATTAACAGAGGGAAAGTTGTTTTAATGGCTGGAATTCCTACAGTTTGTTTTTTACCATTTAAAATGTGAATCTGTTGAAAAAGTGTAAAATTGGCCAAATCGTTGATTTCTGGGCACCTAATTATAATAGGGGCAGCTCTGATACCTGAATGGGCTGTTTCTTGCAATCATTGTATAGCAAAATAGCTGGGAACTGGGCCTACAATAGGCCTTAATATAGGCAAAATTGCTGTTGTGTAGTACTCCCTGACCTCCAACTTTGCACTGTGTAATTCTACAATTATTACATCAAATTTTGCATTGTTGTCCTTGTCATTAGAAAAAATGCTCTACCATTGTACAGGATAAAAATATTTTTTTAATTTTTAAGTAAAATTGCTGATACAAAAGGGGCTTTCAATTTTGGAGCTGCCAACAGTTTCAGATTTAGGTAAATCTAGGACCATCGTAAATTTGAACATCACCAACTGAACTTACTTTATAAAAAAAAATATTGCATTTAGAGAAGGGGTCCCCCAACCTGCAGTCCATGGGCTGCATGTGGGCCTTCTAGAAAATGGACATGGCCCTCTTATGAATTCACTTTTATGTAGGTTCCACAGTGCAGTGTCAACTAAACTCTGCAGCTTTCATCACACATTTGATCATCAAATGTGGCCCACTTGTGTAAGAAGGTTGAGGATCGTCGATTTAAAGTAAACAAATTGATTTTAAAGAAAGGAACTGAAATAGAAATAAAACCTTTGGCTTGGAAATGGCTATATTAGTTAATGAAACCTGTGGAAAGTTCTAAATCATCTGAAGGCACTTGGTATGATTTAACAAGTGGACCAGCCTTGAATGATTTTAAGCTTGAGATAAAGCTGATCTAAGTCGTTTTCCCCCCAAAAAGAATTTAGCTGCCAGAAAGGCTTGGTCAAAAGAACATCAAGATTGAATTACGTGTTTTCAAAAATCTTTGAAAAAACAATTGATTACCTGGGGCTGTTTCGAAGGTCATTGCCCCTAATGGTTCAGTCCATGACCAAGCTTCCTATGCAAATAGAAAAGCAGAGGCAAGAAGCTAGCATAATTTCTTTTCTCTGCCTGGAGTACTCTATGAAAATAGAACCAAGAAATATATTTAGGGAGCTAGCTTCTGGAACTGAGCACCATTAAAGAGCATGTTTTGACTTTTAGGCAAGATAGGTACTGTTGAAATTTAAAAAAAAAAAAATAACAGTACAGTATTTTGTTGAGCTGATATGATTGGTTATTACAAATGCCATCTAGTCAAGTGATTCAGAATCTTTACTAGCCATGAAGAAATGTATTCTATTAAGAATTCAAAATACCATGGCTGAAACAATTCATAATTAACCCATAAAGTAAGCAAGATGATAATTTGGTTTATCTTGGACTATTGCAGTAATTATGGTCAAACATGGTTGCTTGAAGTTTGGTTTAATCTACCATTTTAGGTTGGTTGTATATGTAGCATGTAATGTATTCCTCAGCCAACTTTAAATTGTGATATAAAAGAGAAACAAATTCAGAGGGCATCAAATCACTTGTATCTTTTTTTTTTTTTCCCACTAATATATATATATATATATATATATATATATATGTTGAAATGTTAAAAGCAGGGGGGGATATAGTGTTGGAGTGGTTGGTACTTTTGTTCAATAAATGTATGAAAGAGGGGAAGGTACCTAGGGATTGGCGGAGAGCATGTATAGTCCCTTTATATAAAGGGAAAGGGGACAAAAGAGACTGTAAAAATTATAGAGGAATAAGCTTACTGAGTATACCAGGAAAAGTGTACGGTAGGGTTATAATTGAAAGAATTAGAGGTAAGACAGAATGTAGGATTGCGGATGAGCAAGGAGGTTTCAGAGTGGGTAGGGGATGTGTAGATCAAGTGTTTACATTGAAGCATATATGTGAACAGTATTTAGATAAAGGTAGGGAAGTTTTTATTGCATTTATGGATTTAGAAAAGGCATATGATAGAGTGGATAGAGGAGCAATGTGGCAGATGTTGCAAGTATATGGAATAGGTGGTAAGTTATTAAATGCTGTAAAGAGTTTTTATGAAGATAGTGAGGCTCAGGTTAGGGTGTGTAGAAGAGAGGGAGACTATTTCCCGGTAAAAGTAGGTCTTAGACAGGGATGTGTAATGTCACCATGGTTGTTTAATATATTTATAGATGGGGTTGTTAAGGAAGTAAATGCTAGGGTGTTTGGGAGAGGGGTGGGATTAAATTATGGGGAATCAAATTCAAAATGGGAATTGACACAGTTACTTTTTGCTGATGATACTGTGCTTATGGGAGATTCTAAAGAAAAATTGCAAAGGTTAGTGGATGAGTTTGGGAATGTGTGTAAAGGTAGAAAGTTGAAAGTGAACATAGAAAAGAGTAAGGTGATGAGGGTGTCAAATGATTTAGATAAAGAAAAATTGGATATCAAATTGGGGAGGAGGAGTATGGAAGAAGTGAATGTTTTCAGATACTTGGGAGTTGACGTGTCGGCGGATGGATTTATGAAGGATGAGGTTAATCATAGAATTGATGAGGGAAAAAAGGTGAGTGGTGCGTTGAGGTATATGTGGAGTCAAAAAACGTTATCTATGGAGGCAAAGAAGGGAATGTATGAAAGTATAGTAGTACCAACACTCTTATATGGGTGTGAAGCTTGGGTGGTAAATGCAGCAGCGAGGAGACGGTTGGAGGCAGTGGAGATGTCCTGTTTAAGGGCAATGTGTGGTGTAAATATTATGCAGAAAATTCGGAGTGTGGAAATTAGGAGAAGGTGTGGAGTTAATAAAAGTATTAGTCAGAGGGCAGAAGAGGGGTTGTTGAGGTGGTTTGGTCATTTAGAGAGAATGGATCAAAGTAGAATGACATGGAAAGCATATAAATCTATAGGGGAAGGAAGGCGGGGTAGGGGTCGTCCTCGAAAGGGTTGGAGAGAGGGGGTAAAGGAGGTTTTGTGGGTAAGGGGCTTGGACTTCCAGCAAGCGTGCATGAGCGTGTTAGATAGGAGTGAATGGAGACGAATGGTACTTGGGACCTGACGATCTGTTGGAGTGTGAGCAGGGTAATATTTAGTGAAGGGATTCAGGGAAACCGGTTATTTTCATATAGTCGGACTTGAGTCCTGGAAATGGGAAGTACAATGCCTGCACTTTAAAGGAGGGGTTTGGGATATTGGCAGTTTGGAGGGATATGTTGTGTATCTTTATATGTGTATGCTTCTAGACTGTTGTATTCTGAGCACCTCTGCAAAAACAGTGATAATGTGCGAGTGTGGTGAAAGTGTTGAATGATGATGAAAGTATTTTCTTTTTGGGGATTTTCTTTCTTTTTTGGGTCACCCTGCCTCGGTGGGAGACGGCCGACTTGTTGAAAAAAAAAAAAAAAAAAAAAAAAAAAAAAAAAAAAAAATATATATATATATATATCTCAGGACATATGCATGCTTTTCAGCTCTGAATGACCTTCACTGGTTTAGCCCTGCGACTAATAATTATGCTATTTTATGCAAAGTGGTTTGCTAATGAAAGCTAGAGAAAGATTTTTAAGGGACACTAAATGAAATGTATTTTGTATACAATATTTTTGATTTTCAAGTATGGTCTTGCTCAAATATTTTCTTTTGGCATTACAATAAAAATAATAAGTACCATTTTACATTATTACAATTGTTATACAAGAAAACAGTTTAATAAACTGGTGAACTGACAAAATACTGATGTTTTTAAAAAAATATGCTTAAAATATAACTTAAGGCTTCTCTTTAATTTCAAGAAAATGCTTATCTCCTTTCAACAATAACACTAGAAAAAAGCTAATTTGTAATGCTGCTCTTCTTAAAAGTACATAGATGTGACAGGCTGAGGAAATTACAAAATACAAACACTGAGGTTCAATGTTGAACTCCTCATTAATTGCTTTAGATATTTTCATAGGTTAATAGTACTGAATCTTTGTGAATGGTTAGAATCTCCACAAAAATTTACAAGTCCTCTGTAAGAACTACCCATATTCATTTCAAAATCTCAAAATTAATAAATCAAATGCTGGTACGACGATATAAACAGTTTTGAAAATATGGAAGTATTTGCAGTTTGCTGTACACTGGTATAATACTTTGACTCAGTTTTAAAATAAGTTACTGGCAGTGAACTTCACAATTCACAATAAAGAAAATAAGAGGTTGCAGATCATTGATTTTTTTACTTCATTAAGCCAGTCTGCCAAGCTTCTGACTCTCCAGAGAGGAACAAGAATGGGAAAATAAATAGCTGATCACAGGGTTGGATCGAAGTTCATGCAAAACACACTTGGGATTAAATACTCCAATAGAGTATAGAGTAATAAAGATTAGGTAGTCTCTTGACTCAGAGTAAATCGAGTAAAAAAAAAATAAGCATGTACTTTGAGCCTAGAGACGTATATCCTAAAAGCTGGTATGTCTCTATATAATAGCTATTATGAATAAAGAGAAAATGGACCTAAGACTGGTCAGACATCCAGCAATGTACTTGGCCCTTATTGTATAACTTTGTTCTCGAGCAAGAAAAATAGATATTTAGTAAGGGAAGATAAATCAAGCACTGCAGAATGAAAAATACTTCCCTTTTCTTTTCATTAAAAAGCACGATGCCTAACTAATATTCATCTAGTAAAAAACGGTGGGTAGGTCACTATTTTACAGCTACGAAGGGGACTAGATGAGGTGTCTTGGTAAACAACCATCTACAACAAACCAGGACACTGGTACTGGGAGGACCCGCCTCAGTTGTGAACCACAAATCACTGCAAGTACCACACAAGAGCTATACATGTATCTCAGTGCTCTGGTGGGGGCTACATCCCTCAAACATCCTGGACTGTTTTGTACCGTAGCATCAACAGTGTCATCTCTCTCCACTCCGCCCCAGCCAACAATAGGCAAGTCAGACATGCTGACAATCCACATCGGCTGAAATAATTTCAGGTAATGTGTATGTATTTGTGTATACTCACCTAGATGTGTTGCCTGTACTGTATATGCATGTGTTGGTGTGTGTATGTGTGAATGTTTACTTTTACCTGTTTCAACTGTATCAATTGCTCACTGAAAGCACATTAGCTCAAGCTATCTTTCTCTAAGTATATAAGAAATTCATATGTCAAAATATAAGGGAAAAACCTTCCATCTATTCTGATGACACTGAATATTAAGTATATCAATTTTAAAAATAGTTTGCTTCTGACAATGTAATTATTTATAAATACTTTGTTAAATACATGTTCTCAAACAAATATTAAGGCCAAAGGAATATTATGGAAGAACTTATCTCCAATAACATTATGCAGTATTATTGCCATATAAGCCTTCCAGTTTTATGCACTATTCTGGCTACAGTGATGCATGGAATAATTTGTACAATGCTTTAAAACAGTGAAGATAAAAAAAAACAAAGACTACATTCTTTCCAAAAGCAGTTCCCCATCAGATATGCTGCTATCCACAGAGAGCAATAATCAGCCGTTGAAGTTGTTTATGCAGCTCTAGAGGTTCTCACTATCATTTACATATTCAAATGTAAAATGAACTTTTAGTTGCAAAATTCCCAATGATTACTGTTCATAACTATTACTCTTAACTTAAATATCACACATGAAATTCTCCCTCAATCCAGCTCTGGCCTATAAATAGTTTAACAAAGGAACTTTTCTACCAACAGGTATTATTTGAAAATTTGTTAAACAAAGTACATGAACAATAAATTCTGCACCTGTATTAATACGGCTACTTCTCGTAAGCCTGTGTAATATGAATACTTTTCAAATGAGGTAGTCATTTATAAATCAATAATACAAATCCTTTGACATATGACAATTAACAACTTAGGCATTCATATTATGTCTAATACATCTTATTTTAATCTTTGGGGGATGTAAGCAACAACATTTGTAAAGCTAAACCTCTCTTGAAGCAAAATCATAATAGGCAGTGATGGTAGCTTGGAGTCAGCAGATTATGAATGCTGAGACAGAATTTAGACTTTATTTGCAGCGTAATATATATTTTCTATAACCATTCACATAAAAAATCTTTACACATGCACTAAAATTACTGTAGCTTTGCTATCAGAAAGGCAAATCACAATATGCAAATAAAATGTTTTGACTTGTTAAGGTCACTAGAGCTGGAGCACACACAGTGGCAGAGTTTACTGTCCCTTATTCCTGCATCACTAATATCCACAGTCCATCAAGTTATGAGTTGCCAGGTAGAGGTTTGCATATCAGAGAGCTCTGGGCAGCTCTGTCCACTGTATTGATGCACCACTTTGAACACTCATCAGTCGTGTCAGGTCCTGTCCACAGGAAATGCTTGAGCATCGGCGTTTAAAATTCAGCTTGCCTTTGTCCGTGGATACTTGGCAGTTATCCCATCCGATGGCTTCAATGACAGTCCCGATGGTCAATTCTAAAAGATTATTTAGTTTAATTTTCTTTCAAGGACATTAATCATTTCAGCATATACATAATGAATTAACATTAAAAAAAACTGAAGGAAGGTGCTTCAAAATGTTAAGTGACTTGTTTTTGAAAATTATTTTTTTATTTCCATGATATATTTTGAAATATCCTTTGCTTGTAAAATGAAAAGCAAATAAAGATATAAAGGCAATCTAAAACAATAGTTTGTAACTTTACTGTATATTACCACCCATAAGATGGCCCAGGGGTAATGGGGGCAGTAACATTTCTTCAAATAATAAGATATTTGCATAACCTCAAGTACTAGATAGTTATATTTTGGGGGAATCAGCTGCCAACACATGCTCTGTTTTTATATCCTATGAGAAAACCAATGCAAATATAAATGAATTATCACATGGTCACAAGTCTAATTATAGTCCAAAGATATTTTACCCTCCAGGGGAAAACTGCAGTACTGTAGTCCCTTTAGTAACCTGACACCTCAGACTACAATCAGTCTGATTATGAATCCAGAGTTCTTACCAGTACTATTTGTAAATTATTAAAACTCTAAGTCAAATGCCTTGCATGGTACTTGGAGATTTGAAATTGGCTATACCCTGATCAATTTTGTTTTAGAAAGGGCTGCTTTATCATCAAATATAAGAGTGAGAGGGGCTAGGTTTGACTGATGTCGTAGGTACGGGAGTAAATTTTTGCGGAGCTTTCAGAAGAGGTGGTTTTGATAAGGATGTGCCTTGGTGCACACATGAAATCTTTGTGGACAAATACTGTTATTGCCATCTTTTTCAATGTAGAATGTCTGACACTTACATTAAAGGTGTTTATCCCAGGCACTTTCCTTAGACTTCTAAGGCAGATTACCAATTTTTACTTGGATTTTTTATCCACAAGAATTCAGTGTTTGAGTGAATAGTACCCTTTCCCTAGATTCTGTAGAAGTTGAAGGCATACCATACCACAAGTCTGAGTCCTTAGCACTACCATATTTCTATTAGCTATTAATGGACTTCCTCAGTTCTCTCGACAAATATCTATTCAACCTTATATGTGAATGATTTTACCATTGTCTTTGCAGGTATGGAATGCAGCAACACACTGCAGAATGAGTAAGCAACTGGACAATTTCATGTGATTTCAAGTTTTTTAATAGTAAAACCAACTCTAACCTTCACAAGCTGCCTTATTTCTCAACCCATTTTGTACCTAAAGGGCACCCCCCCTATTTCAGTATATGCCACTGTTAAATTTTTAGTCCTTACCTTTGATTTTTGAATATGGCAGTCTCAAATCTTGCTGAAGCAAACAAGCTTATTTGCCTGGCTCCATTAAAAATTTTAACATTTATATTTGGGAGGTGATAGACATATTCTTAAACTTCATAATGCCCTAATTCTCAGCCTACTCAGCTACTCTGAAGAAACTTCCTGCCATTCACTATCATGGGTTACATATATCTCTTTAGTCTTTCTTTCCCAGTTGAGAGCTTGTTTACAGAAGTAAACCTCCCTTATCACAATCAGCATGATACCCATTGCCTTTGTAATCCTCATACATATCAAATAATCATAGATGTTATTGATGTATTCATTTGAGTACCAACCCTATTTATGGCCCTTCATCTTCTGCTTGTGAGCTCTAGCAAAACTACATTAATTTCCGTCCCCTTTATGTTCACCCCATATTGTATTTTTCCTCTGCCCTTCCTGGAAATGTTTGGTGCACCCCTCTTCCATGCCCTAAAGCCAAGATATTTGATACAAATTTTTAGTATGCTATGGCAATGTACATTAATGGTTTCAAATCCTCCAACATGGTCAAATGTGTAGTCCCCACCCCTGACCCCCAGTAGCATAATCCAAAGACTTTACTAGAATCGGCCAGCATTTTTATGTGCCATACTTGTTATAATACACATTGCTACAATGTACACTTCATTTACCATTTCAGATTCTGTGTAGAAAAATTTCTCATCCCACTGTTCCATATACAAGTGGTTATGCTGAATGTCTAACACTTGGATTTTTTTTTTTCCTAGGTCCCAGGACATATTGACAACCAGGGTAACAAATGCATATTCACAGTGCTATTTTCACACAGGAAAGTCCCTTATTCTGACACCTTTTTCTGTTATCTCAGAGACTCCAGAACCAATGGCAAGAGTGTTGTCTATAAAAATGACAAAAATGTTCCATCAAACCACAACTGGCTTTCTGACTGTCTTGCCACTGTTGTCAGACATGGAAAACTGCCCTCTGACCACTTTGGGGACTACCAGGTGAATAACAGCTTGCCGCATAATGTATTAGAGAACACACAGGATATACTTTTAGCATCTCCAATGCTCAGATACATTCCTAGCAAAAAATCCCACCTTTGATTTTAACTATGCTTTTAACTAACCTGTTGCTCCAGTCATAATAATTCCTCACTAACTCCCTATTTTACTAATCACCTTTATAACTTGGGCCACCTTTGCACTATATGACTAATGCAAGTTTAGCAGTTCTTTGTGGATAGTTTCCCTCCATTCTCTTCTCCCCTGCTCTTCCCTTTCACTGAACTTGATTGCCTCTCATTCTCCCAGGTGATGTATATCTCGTGTGTGCTGGAGTAAAATTAAATATTTAAAAAAAAAAAAAAAATGTTCTTACAAAATGATTAAATTCCTAAAGATAACTATTCAGTAATAAAAGCCAATTAAGAATGTCAGATGTCCTCCCAATTAAGGTTCCTTGATGCCAGTGAGGGACTAATGATCCAAGGAATTGGACCAGATTTCCCCTTCCTCATATCAAACTTGCCTGCCTGCCTCTTATTCTCTTATCCCAATGCGTTTAACACTGGATGAAAGTGCCCGGCATACTTTAATGAAGAAATACCCAGCCCTGTTAGGTGTTTCAGTTCAAAACTTGCTGCTGGCCTGGCAACACTCGGTGTGTTCTAGACCTATGCAGTGAATGGAAGTGTGGGGTCTCCCTGTGCTGCTTGGTCTTGCATGCTGAGTTTATTGGACATACCTTCTTATTCCCTATACAGTGAACCCCTGAATTAAGTCATCGGAATAAGTAATATTCGGAATAAGTAACGTTTTTTCGTCAAAATATTGGCTCGGTGAATGTCACTGAACTCGGTATAAGTCATTTGTGTCAGGGCCTGAGTGGCCCCGACACTCCATGTACAGCCAGTGTGCCATTGTTTACCAGCCAGTGAGGACGATGCCATGCATTCATAAGATATATTTTGTATTACATTTTTTAGTGCTTGTAACTGCTAAATAAGCCACCATGGGCCCAAAGAAAGCTTCTAGTGCCAGCCAGCCCTTTGGTAAAGGGCTGAGAATGAGGGAAGAATGTGCCTTTCTCAGTGATTCTGCAATATGTACGATACTAAATTGTAGCATTAACAGTGTAGCAAGTAAGTTGAGCGATTAATCGACCGAAAAAGGACAGCACGAAACTGCTGCCGCCTTCACCACTATGTAAGGCTCATCTTTCAGTGCCCCTTATACACCCAACAAACAACACACCACTCGTGACATTCTTAATGCCATATTTTATTCATTCTAGAGTATATATCGTGTTTCCATGTTAATATTGTTTATTATGTCATATTAGATGAATTGTGCTAGATAAAAAAGCTGTAGAGCTGATATTAGTATCATATTGAAGGACTATCTTGTCTCCCAACACAATTCCTAACATACCCCAGAAACAGACCTCTCTGGAACACTTTTTTGAGTGACAGGGGTCCAGTGACTCTCAAGATGGTCCTAGTGGCATTAAAAAACAAAGGAGGGAAGTAACCCAGGATAAGGTCTTGGTACCTGAAGTCTTTATTGAAGGGGATTCCCCTTCCACACAATTGTAAACTACTCCATCCTCTCCCCTCCCATCTTCCATACATCAACATGTCCTCAATAAAGGTAAGTGTGAAGTTATTGTTTTATTCTTCATGTATCATTGTTTTCTGTGTAGGTAAATGTATATTTCATGTCTGAAACATATTAATTGGATTTCCAATATTTCTTATGGGGAAAATTAATTCAGAATAAGTTGGATTTGGAAAAGTCAATCTCTGGAATGGATTAACTGTGTAATCCGAGGGTCCACTGTACAGTAGAACCTCAAAAATCGAACTTAATCCATTCCAGGAGCTAGTTCTAAATTCGAAAAGTCTGAAATTCGAAGCAATATTTCCCATAAGAAATAATGGAAATACAAATAATCCATTCCAGAAACCGATAAATATTCACACAGAAAATACATTTTAGAGAGATTAATTACAGTTTTACATACAACAAATACTATAGTTTTTAATTGTGTATAGTAATACATATAAATAACATTTTTACTTGCCTTTATTGAAGATTGGTGATGGCATCTGGAAGATAGGGAGGAGGAGAGAGAGGGAGTTGGGGTTAGTGTTTGGAAGGAGAATCCCCCTCCATGAGGACTTCAGGTAAAGCCCTCTCTGGGGTTACTTCCCTTCTCTGTCTTTTAATGCCACTAGGACCAGCTTGAGTCACTGGACCCCTGTCTCAAAAAATAACTGTCCACAGTCCTCTGTTTCTGGCACCTCTTTAACATTTCCCTAAAATGAGACATGGTTCTGTCACTGAACTTGTTGCAAAGATGGCTTGTTTCAGCTTGCTCAGGGTGGTACTTCTGCACAAACATTTGGACATCATTCCACTTGGCACAAATCTCCTTAATCTTTGAAGAAAGCACCTCATCCACTCCCTATATTAACACCTTTCGCAACATCAGCTTCCTTGATTTGTTCTTTCTTTGACAGGATAGAACCAATGGTCGACTTGTTTTTCCCATACATCCTGGCAAGCTCAAGTCTCACACCACTCTCATACTTCTGTATTATTTCCTTCTTCACATCAATGGTGTTTCTCACTTTCTTTACCACAGGGGTACCACTAGCAAGTTTCTTTGGGCCCATGGCAGCTTATTTCACAGTCCCACAAGCACT